CCTTAGAGGTTCATCAGTCCTTTGTGAAATCATTTATAAAAGTGAAGCCTGCTTCCCAGAGTTGCCATTCCCCCCCAAAAAAAAAAAAAAAAGACAAAATCAATCAAAAACAACAACAAAAAAACTCAGCTTGAAAAATAAAATTGTGTTGGGGCCAGCAGGTGGTGTGGTTAAGGGTGTTGGACTTCCACATGGCCAACCATGGTTCGAATCCTAGACATAGCAGCTTGTTTTCTCACTTTCTCTCTCTCGCTCTCTGTTCCCCTCTAACCAAATTGAAAATAAGTAAGTAAATGAATAACTAAAGTTAAATAAATAAACAAAATAATAAAAATAAATAAATAAAATGGTGTGTTATATCATCTCATATAGCCCTCTTGGAGCAGTAAACTTTATTCTTTTGTACAAAAGTGGAAAATAGAGGTACAGAATGTTTAAGCTATTTCCTTGGCCCTGTGGTCAGAGTAATGCTAGCTTATGCTTTGACAACAACACTTTCAGTGGCTTACCACAACAATTATTTTGTGCTTGTCATAGCCTGATGTTGGTTAGGCAGCTTGCCAGGGAGCTCTGTTTTAAGGCTCAATGATTCAGGCTGCTGTGAACTGCAGCTTCATCTGGAACATGTGGCCTCCAGGTTCACGAAAGCAAGTGGAGAGAGAGCTGATTGATTGTGTAGGGTGTGTTAAAGAACTAAGCCTGGAACTGGATGCAGTCACTTCTGCCTACATCACATTGGCTCCTCCTCCTTGTATGACTGCAGTATGAATGCAAAGGAGACTGAGAAATGAAGAAGAGCATGTGAATATTTGGTGAGGGCTAATAGTTTCTGTCATACCTGTCCTTTCTCACTTTTTATCACACACAGAGAACACAATCCTTTGGCAACAAGAACAACCCAAAGTCCCATTTAGTCACTGGATCCATGACTCAAATGTAAGGGATCTTTCCGTGATGGGTGACTCTCTTTGTCAGATGAGGATACAGACCTACTTTGTCCAGTGACCTGTGCACTAAAAAGACAAGTTATTTGTCCTTGACCCAGTATAGCTAATTTACAAAGGGCAGAGTACTCTCATCAACACCTTCATTCATGAAGGGGAAGTGGTAGAGGCCACTGTCCTGTAGCAGTTCTAAAACCCCTTTCAGGCAGATGTG